TGAAAGTGTCAGTTGCTTTAAGTTTAGATTGCTTTTATACTGTTACACTCACAAACTGAAACAGGGTTTAATAACAAAAAGAAAAGTAGACACAATGTACCAAAATCTTATAAATGCAAACACATTAACTAGTTCTATAATCAGTGCCCTAGTGATTGCTTGATTTAATATGTGGCTGGAAAGTTATCTGATAGTTAAAAATTTCACTCATCTTAGAAATTGTTATCTAAACAACCTCTACCTATTAGAATATAAATGTTGTTGTTAAATGCCATCCAGTCAGTGCTGACAAACGGCAACTCTGTATAGGGTTTCTGAGGAGCAACAGGTGGGTTAGAACCTCCAACCTTGCGGCTTAAACTGAACTTGCGGTTCAGTGCATTATCCTGCAGCACCACACCAACAGGCACACGGACACAGTTATTAGTATTAGTAAAGCAGCTGCAGTGACAGGATTTCATTAAAGAAAAGGCTCATGCCAAAGTTGATGAAGTGAACGCAGGGTGTTCTTTACAAACTAGTAGAATTTCTGCTTGGGGAATAGAATATAAACTTTTACACTGAATATTCTACTGCAAACCTTATTCTTTATAGTTGGTTCATCTTGTAAGGCGGGATGGGGAAAAAAGAAGTTTTGTGTCCTTCAATCAACCTGTCATCACTGAAATACTCATTGACTATGTGCCTACAGGGCTAAACATATGTGTGTGTATGTGCGTATAAAATCTATCAATGTTTTCATATTGAATTGAAGATGCATTTAGCAAAAAAAGGTAAAATTATTACATTTAGAAGCTGATTAGATTGAAAATTTTCTTCAAACTAAGGTGGTTAGTCTTAAACCTACAGATAGTGTTTTAAGTCAGTTCCGACCCACAGCAACCCATACTATAGGGTTTCCTAGGAGCAGCTGGTCAGCTTGAACCACCGACCTTGCTTTTTGAACCAATTTCGTGGTCTAACACATTAACCCATAGAAACATACCAGGATTATCAATTACCTGGCTTAAAAGGTATCATGAGAAGATTATCCTGAGAGCTAAGAAAGGGCAGTAATAACATACAGAATTGTCTAGGTTGACAATACTGTGTGCTAATAACAATGAGTTATCTTCTAAAGTTTCACCAGAAATACATACAAGAATAGTTTATAATACTGAGTTATGCCACCCGAGCTCCCTGTGACCATCTGGAATCTGGATTTGCCTAATCAGCTTTGAGAGTTGCTAATTTACCTGGTCATGAGCTGGGTGCCTTCTAATAGCGGATTCTGTACCTCATACATTCTGCTAGCTCTTCAGAGGCACCTTACAAATGGTCACTCAGTGCCTCTGTTTCCAGGACACTCTGCAGTGGAGTCTGACCTGTGGCCTGCTGTGACCATGATACATTTAATCAGTTGTACTATATAGCTCGACGGCACTTAACAACACCACCAGCCATATAAACGAACTTATATAATAATATTGAAATAAAAGTTTAATTATCTTAAATAAAACTGCCTAAGAGAAAAGTTACTGAAATTTTCAGAGATCAGGGAGTTTTGCTAGATGTTTATGAAAATAAATAAGCAAACATTCGGATTTTATTTCTTTCAATTCCTTGGGAAAAAAATGAATGGATATTTGGAAAGGGAGAATTCAATAGCTAGTAAGTCTATTTCTGTTGATCACATTGGCAAAGTCTCATTTTCAAGAATGTAACTTCACAATAAATTGACTAGCTAAATTTTAGTTGCTAATAGTGACTGAAATTGGTAACTTGTCATTAATTATTTGATTCATCAGTTTTGAAAAAACAGTATCATTTTAATGGTGATTTGCAAGATTTTCTTTTCTCACTCTTTTACTTTATACTTATCTGTATATCCTTTACACGTCACATGGAGGTGAAGAAAATAATGCACCTTTTCAAATGTTTCTGAAGTCCCTAACATCCCAAAATCTATAGTTTAAAAGCAATGTCATTCTCAGATTGAATACACTCTTAGTATTCGATCCGCAAGTAAGACAGCAAGTGTAAAAAAGCAAAATAAAATGACCAAAGCTTAGTACTGAAGATATTGCCTAACTTATAAACTGTAGCACATTACTATATAGCCTTTGCTCTTATTGTTAGCATTCTCGTTCTGCTATATTTAATATATTCACCAAGTCCGTATTATCATGTATTCCCATTTTACTCAGCCACACATTAACTGTGATACAGAACTGTATGTTGCTATTTAACAAACTTAAAATCTAATTATTTAAGCCTTAGAGTCACCAATATGAAACAAAAACACAATCAGCTAAGTTTCTTCCTACAAGCTTTAGTAATATGTCAAGTGATTTCTTTTCAAATTAATACCAACTTTCTTGAACAGATTGACTTCTGTTTTTAATGAAATGAATTCTCCTCTTCCAACTCGAAGTCTGCTCTAAACGTAAGTCACCTGGGAACCTGGCCAAAGTCTGAAACAGCACAGCTGAAGGGTCCAGCCATTTCACAGGGTCCTCTCAGAGAGTATTTAGTTTGCTTTCCTAACCTTCTAAAAATAGTAGATTACACAGTCTACCTCCATCTCATGGTTTAACAACTCAGGAAAAGCTGGGCTACAGATTTAAGTAATGCATAGAAAACATTTTATTAAAGAAGTCAGGATATTACAAGTTTTCAAAATTCCTTCCGTTTACTCTCTGAGACAATACAAATGAGCGGTAACTGGCAGGGAACCCTCATAATGATCCCCGTTTTCAGAACTTCAAGCATGAGTCACAGTTACTTTAACTGCTTTAAAATATGGTTTTGATCTATTTTAGCCACAAAATTGAACACAGGAAGACTGCTATCTCAGAGGTAGGATTCTAAACACTGTATTCAGAATCACAAAATGGGATTTTGAAATGTGAATGCTGAATTGCATATTCAAAAAAATTTTAATTACTTCTTAATATAGTTATTTTGCTAACACTTAGGGTACTAAGAAGTCCCACCATAAATGAAAGTGTATATTTTGTTCCCCTTATTTAAATAAAAAAATATTTACCAAATTTAAAATACTATAAATTAAATTGTGGCTTCACTTAGAAAAACAAAGAATCAGGACAAAGTTTGAATTGATTAAATGCTGTAATGACCACAGTTTATGAATAAACTTAAAATCTTCAAGGTAAACGCTATTTTTTAAAAAGTCCTTGATGTGGCAGTTGAATCTTGTTAACCACATAGCATGTCATTAAGCAATGCAGCTTGCTGCTTTACTCACAGGGGGACTGTTCTGTGGCCACAAATGAGCAGCAACTAAAAAAATATTTTGAGATGGAAAAATAGCAACTGAATATTAATGTTTCACAATGTTTCCAAATACTGTGGAAGCAGGTCTTCAGTGAAACCACTCAATGTCACAGCCAAATTTAATGTCCTTCATTTTGCAGCAACGAGTGCGCCATTAACTGACTGTAGGATTAAAAATTGGATTTACTAGTAATTGGGTCAAAACAGGGTTCCTTATGGACACAGCTGGTTACTGACCAGCGTCATTAGCCTTTGCCCCTCATTTTATGGTCCCAGTCTCTAATTATACCTGAAGACAGTAGGCTTGAATTTAAGACCACAATCACTTGCCCTTCATCAGTGCCTTTCAAAGGAAATAAGAGAAAGATTCAATGGAAATGTGTAACTTTTGCTTACTGAACTGTAGAACTGTAACATTAAAATAATACAGCAATTTAAGAAAAGTTTATTGTTGCTAATACCTCTTTGTTCTGAAGATGACATCCTTGGGGTCTGTGGCAAAAACTTTAGCAAAATGACACAATCTAAACCAAAAAGCAGTTAACTAAAACAGGTAATTCCTAAGTAACTCATCCAGATGTTGTTAAAGAGAGCACTGTTATTATTATAGCACTATTTTCTTTTGTGTTTTTTGTTTTTTCCAAAAGACAAGATAGATCTGTGAGACATTTACTTTTTAATATATGTGAACATGGTCTCCTCCTTCAAGGTTCAAAGAGTTAATCAAATGGGGCAAGAGTATTCAAAAGCAATTCAATTAGACAACATAGGTGAAAAGTGCCCAGGAAACGTCACATTTTGAGTCTGGATAGTGCATGTCAAAATAAGGATATGTATGTTATGTTTTAAAATACCAATTTTTAAACCCTATACCTGAATTAGGAATCCAGTTACATTTGTGAATGTCCAGAAATACTACAGTGAATCTTTTCATGTTCTGGTTCCACACAACAAACTTTTAACACTGCTAGCTGAGTCTCAGAAATATTAAAAACATACACACACACACACGATCTAACAAAATAAAGTTACTTAATATTAGAATATTTAAAACTAAATAATCCAGTTAATAACAGTTTCTACTTATTTACAAAAATCATGTTCAACCAAGTTTATACCTCAGATAAGGTACTGTGACAGCAGGTCGGAACCTAATTCTATTATATTTCCCACAAAAATGCAACGTTCTGGCCTTAAAATCATATGCTCATAAACCAAAAAGAAATCTAAAAGGTCAAAATATTAAAACATTTCAGTCTACCCAACTTCAGCTGACTTAGATTTTAGTATTCTTTTACAAAGGTACAGCACCTTTACAAACAGATAAAAACCCCACACTAAATCATCATCATTCAGCTACTTCTATGACCTTGCATATATCTAAATGCTAAATACACACATGTATCTACATTTTCTATTCCTACACACACACACTGGCTTTGCTATTGCTAAATTTAAAAGTGCATCGATACTTTCTGCTCTTGAAAAAAAAAAAAAAAAATGATAAGAGTTACAAAGACTGATAGTTATTCATAACAAAGTTTGGCCAGACTAGGTTCTGTTTCTTATCAATAAACTCTTCCACACCAACATCATCAATATGACACACCAAGTAACTGGACTATTAACAAAGCAAGTCATAAATCCAATCAAGTGGACTGTCCCATCCATAGTCCCTTTATTCAATTATTGTGCATCCTTAAAAGAATATAATATTTACTCACTTTCAATGAATCAAAGCAGGCGATTACTCGTCCATTTTCAACTTGGCAGCTTTTCGATGGATGTGCAAATTTACATTCCGTGTCTGGCCGTGAGCAAGTCCCCCTTTGGAACTCTCTACATACTTCCAGTGTTAGCCATTTAGTGTCCCGAATAGGTGTGACACTAACAGCCATGATTAGATTTTACAGGTAGTTAAAACTTTTCAGTGAAACCAACAAACCCAAACCCGCCCCCCAAAAAAGACAGCAACAACAACCAAAAAAAAAGCTGAACTGATAAAGCTGGAAAATGATGATGAAAATGTCCCCTCCAAAATACTTCTCCCCCACTCCCTGCTTTAAAAGTACATGGAAAATTGTGTTGTCAATATCAAGGAAAAGATCTCCCACTAGAAATTCACAGCATGAAACTGTTATGTGAAAGAGGTTTGGTTTCTAGAGAAATCCTAGGATTATAAGTAGATGAATGTTTAAAAGTAGGGCCTTGAATCTGCCCTGTGCTCTCTGTAACCCCTTCCCAGTGCCAATTTGGAGCCCAAAATGCAAGCATGAAAACGTGGCAGACCCTTTGACACCGAATTTCCAAGCTGCTCTCAGCAAAGTTGTCTGAAAGGGAATCTCCTCGCAGCTGAATTTGCAATGGAGTTTGGTGATGCAATCGGTATTGATTAGTTTGGCATAGACAGATGCAGCAGTTTAGAGCAAAATCGAGAAAATGATTTTTTTTTTTTTCCTCCTTGATTTCCTGGCAGAAGATATCTTACTTTTTCAGCAAACTTTTCTTTTAAAACTAAAGCAGCCTACGGCAATGCCAGATACTTAGAGCTTTTCTCTTGATTATAAGTAGAAATGGGGGTGTCTGGGCTAGAGGTGGAAGGTGGAGATGCTGTCGTCACAGTCTAGCTGGCAGCAAGCAAGGCAAAAGCAGAGACTGCTCTAGAAGCGGTTCCAAGCAGCAGAGACGTCAGGAAAGGCACTTCTTAGTACCAACCTGTAGAAAAAAGAGATAGGTTAAGATTTACTAAGTAGCACTTCACTGATGTCCTACAGTATCACAATCTTGCCATGTGAGACCAGGCTAAGTAATATTCAAGTCGGCTTCTCTCTCCCTCCTTCTCTCTCCCACACACACACACATATACACACAAAATACTTACAGTGAGGCATATTGCAGCCAGCCATCGTAGATTTATTAAAAAAAGGGGCCGTTTCCCCTTGTGAAGCAATGCATGATAGTGAGATAACCAATCACAGATAGTGTTGCAGCAATATTCTGGGCAGAAAGCCAATAGTGTGGGTTGTCTTATGAAAGGTCGCGCCTGTCAGACGTTCATTACTATGCTATAAGCACAGAAAATGTCCATCAGATGTGACTTATTCCACTGCAAGAGGACGAGCATGTGGGTTTTGAATTTACCCAACATGCAGTTAGTGGACTAAACCATGTTACTTTCAAAACAGCTTCCAAAACAAGTCCAAGCACTTGAAGATCATTACCAGGGTGAATAAAAAGCAAAGTCTAAAAATTGCAGCTGACTTCCAAGCTGCTTTCCTTCTGGCTCTGCGCAGGGACAGGCACTGAACAGCCTGCTCATGCTGTCCTGACACGTGAATAAAAAAGGAAAGGGGTGTTTACAAATGGTACATTCTCCTGACCTATCCAATTCACTTCCTTCTAAAGCCCAAGTCCTGCCCCTCCACTGAAAGCAGCACTCATACTGTAAAACTATTCCATTCAGCCGGCAGACACTTTGTCAATATATCACAGGCAGGCGAGATATGAACAAAAGCATCTTTTATTCGAACATTTTCTAAGCAGAAGCTGAGGTCATGTGGGGAAAATAAGAAGCGCAGTGTTGTCAGTGTGTCTGGCAAATCCAAAGTCAACCTCAGGGGAGAAAGTGATTGCATCACAGCAACATTAAATATTAAGTGAACAATTTGATTTGAGCAGCGTGATGCACTTCAGGGGTACAAACCTGAATGAAGTCAGACAGGGCTGGTGGGGGGGAGGGATGGCATCCCTTATTGCCTAAGGATCTGCTAACAGCTCCTATGCTTCTTATGGAGTTTTGTTTCAACAACTTTATCAATCAGGATAAAGAATGTTCAGACAATTCTTATTAGTTACAGAAACAAAACATATGCATTGTTTCCCATAGGAATGCTGCCAATAAAGGAAGCATGGCTTTAAAAAAAAATCCGAAAGTGTCAAACTTTAAAGACATGACATAGTAAATAGTGTTTGGACACTACTTCATGGGCCCAAAATGGTATCTTTTGACATATGGTAAATTCATAATTTGGACATCAGAACTGTAACACGAATCACAAAATGTGTTTTCGAAACGTGAATACTGAATTGTATATTCAAAACCATTTAAATTAATTCTTAATATAGTTATTTTGCTAACAGTTAAGGTGCTAAGAAGTCCCACCACATATAAAATTGTTTGTTTCCTCTTATTTAAATTAAAAATGTTTAATTTAAATAATTTAAATGTTTACATTTAAATAATTTAAAATTTTAAACATAAATTATGGCTTCAGTTAGAAAAACAAAGATTCAGGACAAAGTTTGAGTTGATCAACTGTATTCTGACTTCTAAATTTTGAGTACTTGTGTATACCTATACATGGAGTTCTGGTGTGCCACTGTAGGATAATGCACTGGACCACAAGGTTGATTTGAACCACAAGAGCAGTGGTTCAAATTCACTAGCTTCTCCTCAGAAACCCTATACAGGGTCTCCATGAGTCAGAATTGACTCGATGGCAATTAACAACAGCAATAACAAACATATATACACTAATTTCTTTAGAAATCTAAGACTATAATTTTTGAGAACTATTCAAAGGACAAACGCATCCAACATTTTTGTTTTCTTAAGTTTTCAGGTTCTAAAAACTGATTCTAAAATACCAAATTCAGGTCAGTTGTAAACTCTAAGTAATGTCTAGCATCCTGCACTTTTCCTCTGTACTCAAAAACTGTCAACTATCTCAGGCTTTGAACATAGACCACTTGCAAGATTAACAATCTCTTCAGTCCTTCTCTCCAGAATCTTTAAATGCCTTATTTGCCACCATTCACTAAGATGACACTTCCTCTGAGACACTTGTTCCAGCTCTATCTACTCATATTAAACCCTACCTCCTCTGAATTACCTCTGTACTAATTTATTTTCTTGTAACTCAGGCCCACTAGACTATGTTCCCAAGGACACCACAATCTTACTCATCTCAGTGCCTAGCAGTGTTAGAAAATGGGTAAAGTTCTATAAATTACCTATTACTTCATCTGGACGGGATTCCCTCTAGAGCACAAAACTATACACACACATAAACACATGTCTGTCACATATCCATGAACACACATGAAAATGCACACTTAAACACACACATACAGATCACTGTAACTGTAAAGGGGGGGGTGCCTTGTGTGCCACTGTGTTCTAGTGTCACTTAGCCCATTCATTCCCAGGAGTCCTGCTGGTCTGGGAATAGCTCCTTCTCCCATTCCACACTGAGGGCTTTCTAAAATGTCATCACTCTCAAGTCCTTCCTCACCCATGTTTTTCTGATATCAACACAGATCATGTTAAATACTGGAGATATATCACAGTCAAAACAGCTCCTCGGGCATAATCTCATCCTGTTACCTCCCTACCACAAGTCTTTAAAATACCTTTCTGTACCTTTCTCCTCACTTCCCTGCAGTTGCTCTTCCTCCTGGTCATGATGCAGCCTCCACCTTGACTCTTTTTCATCTTTTCAAGATGTCTGTCTTGACGTTTATACTCTCCTTCCTCTACATATGTAAGTCCTGTCTTTCCAGCAGGTTTTTGTTTTTCTCTCTCTCTTTTAGCTCTGAGACATGCTCCCAAAGGTATGGCATGGCAGGAGGACTGGATTCTCTCCTTTCCTCTCTCCCTAATTTTCTCAATGCATCGTTCTCAGTCATACATCCAAAGACCCTTCCACATTTAATGCATTTCTTTCTTCCTGTCCCAGCCACCACCTTGGAATCCACTATCATTCTGAATTCCACATCTATATCTTTTCTTTGCTGTTCTGCAAAGACTTTCAATGTGCTCATCAAAGTCAAATCCAAAGTTATTTCTAGTTCTTGTCTTTGTTTCACCTCTAATGGTACTTATAGCTCCCTTCCTCTTTCTTGAATTTTCTCCCTTGTCATGAACAAACATTTTTGTCCTTTTGGTTTATCCCTATCCTCCACTTGTAGTACCCTACCCGTTATTGTTGTTGTTAAAGGCCGTCGAGTCAGCCAACCCACAGCAACTCTGTACAGGGTTTCCAAAGAGCAGCTGGTGAGCTTGAACCACCGACCTTGCAGTTAAAACAGCTTTGCAGTCTGGCGCATTAACCCATAGCGACACACCAGGATTCCCGTATTCTAGTAGAGAGTAAAGTTACATGCCATGTGTTTTGTGCTCCTTGGAACTGTTAGCTGACTTTACCAAGCAACACTTTAAGCTTTGTTTGGTTTAATACATACTTCACCCTTTCAACCTGGAAAATCCTTTCTTTCTCTCTAAGTTGTAGGGCCAACTTTACTATACATTATTCCATTCCCAGAATGCCTTCAATATTTTCTATCTCTTTGTACTACCTGTTTTCCCTCATGCGTTCCCTGAAAACACAGCATATCATCAATATTCTGTTAATGCCCAGTTCCTGTAGATGTTTTTAAATATGAATAAGATTATTCACAGTAATATAAATAAACAGACCCATCCCTGGAAATATTTAATAATGACATCCGAGGTCCAAAGAATATGGGACCAAGGAGAATTCTAGCATTAGAAATTTATTAACTCTAGAGCTGATTCTTAATTGTTCCTTTCTACTGTGCTACAGGCTTAGACCCACTTAAGAACAAAAATGCTTGAACTAAAAAGCATGCTAATGAGATGGTCTAATTATTTCTATTTTGTACAGCAGGGAAACTCTTTTGACTTCAAAAAGTGTCACTGAACGAATTATAGGTATATGACTGTAAGTGGCGTCCTGGTACGGAGCTGTAAAATAAGTATTGTACAACTAACTGCAAGGTTGGCGGTTCACACTCACCAGCCGCTCACTGGAAACACTATATAGGGTCACTATGAGTCAGAAACACCTTACAGCACTTAATAACAACACTATGTAAGCAGAACATACTACTTAATTATAAAAGATACAGGCAAGGATGATAAAATGTTTATATCCAGGTATGAGCAATCAGAATGGACATAAACCTTTACTCTATGGTAGTCTAGCCAAACTCAGTGGGGTACATGTCAGCCCTTGATATGTGACATGCTAAATTACACTCATACCTTGAGCATATGATTTCAACTAAATTGCTTGCATGAGATTATTGCCTTGTAATCTTTGCCTTTATCAAAGGAGAAATTTCAGGAAAGGTTTGAAATCCTAGTCTGGGATTTTGGTAAATAAGGATTTTTGTAAAATTTATAGGATTTGGAGCACAATATTAAACAGTGCATTGGGAATATTTTGATTGTAAGAATTCTCATCAATATATTTGATTATTTATAAAAATAACAGTAAAATATGTATTATTTGTAAATAACTATTAAAGGAAATATTTATGCTTGAAAGATATTTACTTATAGGCTGATTGCTTCTGAAACAAACCTCTGATCTATATGTCAACATATGAAAAATAATTATAACTCCTCTC